TCAAATGAGAAAATGCCTTCATAAGATCCTTCTATTGGTCATTTTCTTCATTAGTAATTGATGTGGGAGGGCCCAGCCTGTTGTGGGTGGGGTTACCCCTGAGCTAGTAATCCTGGGTTCTGAACAAAAGCAGGCTGAGCAAGTCAGGTAAGCAAGCCAGTAATCAGCACACACCCATGGCTTCTTCATCAGCTCCTGCTTCCAGGTCATTGCCCTGTTTGAGTTCCAGCCCTGACTTCCTTCAGTGAGGAACTACAACGTGCAAATATAATCCAAATAAACCCTTTCCTTCCTAACTTGCTTTTAGTCATGGTGTTTCATTGGCAGCAGTAGGACCTGTCTCTTCACTGCCAACTTCAATACAGACAAGCTTCTCTAGTGTGTCCTTTCATGGAGAATATTTTCTATCCATCTTTTCACTGAAGTTATTAACTTTAGGCTTTATGTGGAAGTCTCTAATGTGAGTTCTTATCTTCTCATCTAAAGCATGAGAGACTGTCAAGACATCAGCCAGTACAGACTAACCATTAGCTTCATGAGTAACCATGAACTCAGAATTTGGGGCATTCTAGGATTTCCCTTATTCTGTCAACTACTTACCATATTGAAGACATAAAGTACACACACATGTGAATACACATACATATGAATACACATACAAACACACAGACATCAGCATTGCTAAGTGTTTCATATTGGGAAAAGATTATTCTGCTTGATGGATTTCTAAGTGAATCTTATGCTTATTCTCATTTCAAAACTGCTAAAATAGCAAATGCCAATAGCTGTCAGTCCACCGGGCCCTAAGTCTTTTTAGTTTTAGTTATCAAAATCCATTCATATGGTTTTCTCTGATTACTCAAGGTAAATTCTAATATAGTTTCTCTGTAATTCATAAAACATTGACTACCTACTGCCTTATACTACATTTTTATATATATATATATATATATATATATATATATATATATATATATATTAGTATCATGGAGTATGATTTATGTCACAAATAAACAACTAAAATACATACTTTGGAAATCCTTCCTTTATGATTTTTATTTCCTCTTTTGAATGGGATAATTGCTGCATGGATAATTGCTGCATGGACAGTTAGGATAACTGGCTTGTTCTCTGTCTTGGTAATGATTTTCTCTGTTTGGGTGGGTCTCATTTTTAAATGCTACAAAAAAACGACTGAAAGAAAGAACAATATACTGATTTGACAAAACCTTCAGCAACTCTCAATGACATAATGAAGATAGTATCTTACTTAATTTAATGGCAGGATTACATCTTTTTCTTCTATTGTATGCTATTAAGAGAAAAAAGATTCAAAGCTTTCAATGGGAACCAAATTCAAGGTATTGAAAAGATGATGTGGCTTACAAAAAGTCAACTTTCTATTTAATTCAGCAAATGTTTACTGACCATCTATTACAGATACGGTACCGTGGTAGACATGTAACCATTTGAGAAAATGTCTATAATAAAGTACATCCATGAGTCTTTCGGAGACGCTGTGCTTTTCTTTCTCTGTGTTTTTAAAATAACTGCAAAAAACATAGTCATCACTTCTGCCTAACTTTAATCTAAAAGCAAAGTCTAAATCTTTATGTCCTAAGCAACCTGCCACAGGGTGATTTCTCATGTGCTGAGTTCTTTATATCGGAACTATAAACCATAAGCAAAAGAGAGTGTATCCATTTAGCGCCCCGAGTCTGCCCAACTGTGTTCTTCTTTATTTGCTGCCTTAAATGAAATTTTTCATGTACATCAAGAACAGTCCCTCAACAAAGGAAACGCAACTCTCAGAGCCAAGTACACCATAGCATGACCATGTGAGGGAACAGCAATTTTTCTGCAAGGAATTGCCTAACAGATTAAAATTTTTTTAATACTTAGGGATGAGAATTTTTAAGTCAGTGGCCATGCTAATGTTAACTTTTCTGTGAGATAAAAGATTTCAAACATTTTGGCAAATGTTTGAAATCATCTTGTTCTCCATGTGACTATGAAATGAATCTTAGCACTGGGATACCCCAAATCTTTTCTTCTGAAAGCACACACAATTTAAGTTGCCACCTAATTTAAAGGTATGTTTTAGATATGGCTCCTTGCTGCACTCCCTTGACAACAATGCTTAAACACTGCAGACCCAGGTTCTCTCTGAGCCTACATGCAGTCGCCCACACTACAGTGAAAAAGACAGGAAGCTGCTTCACCCCAGTAAACATTTTCTTGTTTACTTTCAACAAGAAAATGACTCTCTCCCACTCCCATTAATTCTTGCTTTCTTCCTGATTAGGTCAATTTATAATACATGCCCATTCCCTGATCAAGCAGAGTCCCTGGGAACCATGTCTTAGTCTGCTTTCTGTTGCTCTAGGAGAGCACCTGAGACTTGGCTATTTATGAACAAAAGAGATGTATTTGGCTCATAGTTTTGAAAGTTTAAAAACACAAGGTCAGGTGGTGACACAGGGTCAGTGTCTGGCAAAGACTTTTTGCTGTTGCCTTCATGGGAGAATAGCAGAAGGACAAGTATGCACATGTGGAAAAGGAGACAGAACAATCTCATTAGCTGGCCCGTTCCCAACAGAAAACCACCATCCATTGCTAGGGGCTCTATTCCCCTGGTTGATTCAGACACTCTATTTAGCTGCATCTCCCAGCCCTGCCACATTGAGGAATTAATCCTCAGCCTAACCATTGGGTCCTGACACAGGAGGAGGGGAGTGACTGAGTCTGGAGAGTACCCAAACCTCATCACAGTCATTTATTCTGATACCTTATGAAAGGCATCCATGGAAATCCTATACTATACTAAGTTAGGTTGTATTTTTCTGAAATATTGAAAAGCTGAACATGTGGTTTAAATCAATAGCAAAAGAAAACCTCTACAGGATTTTCTCTGAAGTCATTATAAAGTGCCCAGTGTCCCCAAGTGACCGTTTTTGGAAATGACGGGATGAATTGATGCCTTGCTGAAGTGCAGCCTGAGAAAAGAGCAAATAATAAGCTCAAATTAAAAGACAAGAAGCCATCTTTCTGTTGTGGTAATGATAGCAGGTGTGATGCTTCAGTGTCCTATAACCCCAAAGGCAGGGCCTTTCCCAGATATAACTTACTGGGAGTAGGGATGAATAAGCAGAAATACTGACTCCCTGGCACACTCTGGGCCTGGCACACAAGGGAATCTTTATGAAATAATTTTCATAAAATTGTTAAGCAGTAAGACATGTTTGTCTTGGTTAAAGGACTAGAAACGGTTGGCCCTAAATGTTTAAGCATTGTTGTCAAGGGACTGCAGCAAGGAGCTGTAGCCCAGACAAACACACACACACACACACACACACACACACACACACACACACACACACA